GGAATCATGCCCACTTGGCTTGCACCACTGTATCTGGCAGATGCTTTTTTTTAAATTTTAGATATTAATGGCTATTACCAGTATCAGTTAACTAAAGGCTGTTAGAAATATTGTCAAAGTCTTATGTATGTAACATTACTTAATTTGAGGAAAGTAGTAACTTATTGGTGGGGCAACCTAAAATTCCGATGGGCAACCTAATTTTTGACGTAGGTTCCGGCAACAGGTAACCATTTTGTCCACCCCCAGGTTCGAGATTATAGTAGACGACGAGGCCAAACGTTCGGGTAGACTTCCTGATGTCGACGACAAAGTCATCACCGTGAACAAGCTGTACATCGGCGGCGTTCCCGCCAACATGGAGAGGCGGTTCCGCAACATGGCCGGCACGCTCGCTCCCTTCAAGGGCTGCATCAGGGATCTGGTGCTCAACGGGAAGTAAGTGAATTACGTTAAATCACATACACACTGTATGGATACATGTATCCATCGCTAGAGCCCCCACTTCGAACATTCTCAGCAAGGACACGTCTTGCCACTTCCACTGAAGCAAATCACCCTCAAACTTTTCAAGTCTAAGGTCAAAAATCATCTGTCCTCACTGGCTGTACAGTAACCCAAAACATCCCATGAGCCTTGTTTTGTGGTGACTAAACTATGAACTAAATAAAATAAAGAAAACATGTAGTAATTGTTTATGGTTAAAGATGTCAGCAATGTTCTTTTAATGAGTTTGATATTCCTCATTACTTTCGCCAGGCTTATCAACATGGGAGATATGGTAGAGTTTAACAAGGCTGACATTGGTCGGTGCGTCCAGCCCACCGAGCTCCTACAGATTACCACGACCGTGACCATGATCACTACAGAAGTCAGCGGCATCACGCCACCTGTCCAGACCATGTCATCGGTGTCCATGCCACCCATGGAGATCACTGGGGGAGAGGAAGAGAGTCCGGGGCCCAGCACCCAATCCGTAAGTCTTAATGAGTAGCTTTCCTTTCCCCACGTACATGTACATGTGGATAGGATGTCTTTAAGTTAACACTGGTGTGTTTGAAGTGAAGAGGTGAAGAGTTAAGGCCTGGTCACATTAGTCGTGGGATCGTCATACAATTGCAGGCTGCAGGCATTCCTGTGTCGTACAAAATTGGAAGTATCATCATCATCATGCCTCTGGATTAGTTTATACTAATCTGGTGAGGTACACTTGATAAAGTTACTCCAGTATGTCCTATCTCTCATAGCGGACACTAATTGGAAGTATTGTTACAGAAAATGCTGTCTTAGATCCTTGATAGCTGTTGGTTTTATCGTAGCCTTCTAAGAAATTCAAAGTCTTATGACGACCTACGACGAATCTGACCGTGCCGCGAATATTAATCGAAGCGACCAGATTTGCCTCTGTGTTACCACTCTTACTAATGAGTTGAAAAAGGAACGATGAAACTTAAGTATTTGCTAAGGGAAAGCACATACTTGTTTTGTTGCAATCTTTTGCCTAGGAAAGGCTATATTTGAAAGATAAATGGGTAAAGTGGACAATTACATGTAGCATATCTGGTCTGCTATACATGTAGTTAAAAGTAGAGGAAAATACTTGGTTAAGATTTTATCAATATTAACGTCGAAAATTCTCAGGCACGTTTTTTTAAAGACTCAAGATCATGTCTGCCCAAACCAACAACGTTACCTCTTGTTATTTGTGAAACGAAACAATTCCCCCTTAGACTAAGCCCGCTACTACTACGCAGTCCAAGCGAATGACTACAACTATGGAGCCCTCCACCGAAAGACCCTCCAGCACTGCCGCGGACCGCACGACCACAAAAATGTCGACAACAGAAAAGGATGATACCACGCCCGAACCAAAGGAATCCACCACCACCCTTGTGATAACGTCCACCCAAACTGTAAGGCCCACGACCGTCCCCAGACCTGTGACCACACCACAGGCTACGACGACCGAACATGTCCCGACCACGGGACTGACCACTGACAGATCCACACAAGGCCCCCCCAAGACGACCACGGAAATGGCCACTGCTAAAGCCCCCACTACTACCGCCTCTAGTGTGCCAGGAGTAAGTGATCACACGAAGAACTGTCCCCTCCTATAAACGTGTCCTCATGAATCCATCCTCCTGAGTCCAGTCCGATTTTCACCACCAACAAGTTCAAGTCCAACTTTTGTTGTTCCCATTTATATTATCACTCCACCACCACCACCTCCACCCCTTCCAGCAAAGCACTTAAACTTTTCTCATCAAGTTTCTTCTCTTCCAACAGTTAAAGCCTGTTATGTTAAAGTCAGCCACACCAGCTTAATTTCTTGGTTCAAGGATTTGCCCGCTTAATTTTTTCTCATTGCAAAACAAAAAAAAACCTGAACATGAACATGATGAACTTTATTGACTCAACAAAAGTACGGCGTAAGGTCTAAAACTGCATGTACACAAACAAAAATGTAGACATACAGACAATACATGGGTACAACGAAT